CCCCCCTCCCGTCCGCCCCGAAGCCCCCCCATGGCGGTCAGCACCCCCTCGGGCTGCCCTGACCTCCTCCAACCGGCAGCGGCCGCAGGAGCCGCCATCGCCACATGACGGGGCCCCGCCACCGCCACCGCCACCGCCGGAAGTGGCCCTTAGGGCGCCGCCATGGGGTCCCACCGCGGGGCCGTCCGGGGGGAGACACTTCCGGGAACTGCGGTCCGTCCCGGAGGCGCAACCCCCCGGAAATGCGGAGGGGAACCTTAGTTCCGGGTAGGCCCGGTACCGTGGGGGACACCCCACCATGTTCCTCCACGATGTTCCTCCACCATGTCCGTCCACTATGTCCCTCCACCGTGTCCCCACTCCGCCTCCGTGTCCCATCAAGGCTCCCAGGGCCGCCTTAATCACAGAATCACGGAATTGTCGGAGTTGGAAGGGACTTCTAGAGACCACCCAATCCAACTCCCCGGCCAAAGCAGGGTTGCCCAGAGGACATCACTCAGGAGCATCCAGGCGGGGCTTGAAGGTCTCCAGAGAAGGGGACTCCACACCCTCCCTGGGCAGCCTGTTCCAGGGCTCTGCCACCCTCACCCCAAAGAAGTTCTTCCTCATTTTTGAGTGGAACTTCCCATGTTCCAGCTTGTGCCCGTTGCCCCTCATCCTGTCACTGGGAACCACTGAAAAGAGTCCAGCTCCATCCTCCTTCAACCCACCCTTTAGATCCTTGTCAGCATTAATAAGGTCTCCCCTCAGCCTTCTCTTCTCCAGGCTCAAGAGCCCCAGCTCTTTGAGCCTTTCCTCATCAGGGAGATGCTCAAATCCCTCCATCATCTTTGTTGCCCTACGCTGGACTCTCTCCAGTAGTTCCCCGTCTCTCTTGAACTGGGGAGCCCAGAACTGGATGCAGGATTCCAGTTGTGGCCTCACCAGAGCAGAGCAGAGGGGCAGAATGACCTCCCTCCACCTCCTGGCCACACTCTTCCCTATGCAGCCCAGGGTTCCATTGGCCATCTTGGCCACAAGGACACATTGCTGGCTCATGGAGATCCTGCCATCCACCAGGACTCTCACATCCTTCTCCTCAGTAGTACTTCCCAGAAGATCCACCTCTATTGGTGCCTGGGGTTCTTCCTCCCCAGGTGCAGGACCTTACACTTGTCCTTGTTGAACTTCATGAGGTTCTTCTCTGCCCAGCTCTCCAGCCTGTCCAGGTCACGCTGGATGGCAGCACAGCCCTCTGGAGTGTCGGCCAGCCCTCCCAGTTTGGTGTCATCAAAGGGAATGGAAGGGCTCAGGGCTCCAGCATGGGGGCAAGGAGTTCTCAGAATTGCAGCCATCAAAGGAGAGAGAGAGAGAGAACTCCTCAGCAAAATTCTTAATTTATATTGAATTTATATTGAATGTTCCTGGTATGAAATAAGCCCATAGGCTACTCTCTTCCACCTAAAGCGACTCATTGATCCTGGGAGGGCTTTGGCAGGGGAGTTGGACTGGGTGGTCTCTAGAGGTCCCTTCCAACACTGACAATTCCATGATTCCATGATTCCTCCTGAAGCCGCAGCACTCGCAGGGTCCCACATGGGCTGTCCCTGCTGGGAGGGACCAGCTTCCTGGGATGGAAGGGGCTGGGGACAGTTGTGGTGTATTTTATATCGATATCGGGATCAATACTCCTTCTTTAGCCTTATTAATATTAATTATCCCCTCTTATTCTATTAGATCCTGTTACCGCAAACTGGCAGATAAAACTTTTTAAGACTCAATTTAAATTTTAGAAAGCAGGCATTCTTTATCGAGGCACCGGATTCCTCCTGTTGTGCACACCGAATACCGTTGTCAAATTAAATTCATACACAACAGGTCTACATAGTCAATATAATTCCAAGAAAACATTAACATATTCATTACATTTCTGAGAATTCATTTACATATTATAATACACTTTTGGGCATGCGTCGTTGTGCCTTCTGGTGGTCTTCATTACGAGTGAGGGTTGTTTCTTCCTCAATCTTCATCTTCTCCACCTCTCCTTTGGCTCACTTTTCATCTTGGCAAAACATTCTAACTGCTTAATTGCTCATTAAAGCTAACGATCTCCCTGCTACCACCTGTTTGTCAGACAATGTCCGTATTTATTGCATCCCTGCCTTAGGTCACCATGTTCTCAGGGCCACAGACTTTCTTATCTTACTATGTTCTTGAAATCATTTGGGGTGGTTGCTAAAATAGCTACATTTCTTCTCTAAAAGAAGATTCTCTGCAGTTTAACCATTTATAAACTACATAAAATCTTCCTTAGGTATCAACCTGTTTATATTTCAACCCTTGGGTTCCCTTCCTTTTTTCCCAGTTCCCCTTCCCGGCTGGAGAGGGATCACGGGGCGAGAGAATAATTACCTAAGTGACAATAGATCATTGTGGGTCCCTCAAAAATAAATCTCCTCCTAGAGAAAAGGAGGCTGAGGGGAAACATTGCTCTCTCCAACTCCCTGAAAGGAGGGTGTAGCCAGGGGGGGTCGGTCTCTTCTCCCAAGGAACAGGCGATGGGACAAGAGGAAACACCCTCAAGTTGTGGCAGGGGAGGTTCAGGTTGGATATCAGGAAAATTTTTTACACGGAAAAGGTTATCAGGCATTGGAATGGGCTGCCCAGGGAAGTGATGGAGGCACCATCCCTGGAGGTATTTAAAAGACGGGTTGACATGGTGCTGGGGGACATGGTTTAGTGATGTTTTTTTGTCCGTTAGGTTGATGGTTGGACTAGATGATCTTGAAGGTCCCTTCCAACCTAGATGATTCTATGATTCTATGAAAATGCAACAAACACACACACGCAGAGGACTGTGCTGATAATGGTTCTTTATTGCCTTCATGGAGGGTCCGGTGGTCCCTTGGTGCCATCAGTAGGTGCTGAAGACAGCCTGGATGTGCTCCCCGTCCCTTGGTTTGTAGGTGCCAACCCCTGCCATGGAGGGATAGGGGTGAGACCATACCCCACAACCCCCCCGTAGCCCCCCATCCCATGCTGCCCACCTTCCTGCAGGGCGTCCTCCCCGCTGAGGAACTGCCAGTAGGTTCTGTCCTCTGGGTTGGCCGCCAGCCCGTGGATGGAGACCACCATGGGGCCCCAGGATGTCTGCTCCGTCTGGAAGCTGTTGGGGAGACGGGTGGGCTCGAGGATCGGTGCTGGTGGGGGGAAGCCATCAGCCTCCCCTCTACATCCCCCGGCCCTGGTTCTCACCTAAAGACCTGGGGTTCCTTCTCCTCGGCTGCCTGCAGCACCTTGAGCAACGTGGAGCCCTCCGGGACCCACACGGAGATGGATTTGCTGAAGTGCTTGCCCTGCAGCTTGTTGATGATGGAGTAGTGCACCTCGATGAGGGCTGGTGGGAGGGGAGAGGAGCAAGGTGGGCACCCAACGCAACGCCACAGGGGCACCGGGCACGAGCGTCACAGAAACACAGAATCACAGAATACTATGGGGTTGGAAGGGACCTCTGGAGATCAGCTCTTCCAACCCCCTGCCAGAGCAGGGCCACCCAGAGCAGGTCCCACAGGAACGTGTCCAGGAGGATTTTGAATGTCTCCGGAGAAGGAGACCCCACCACCTCTCTGGGCAGCCTCTGCCAGGGCTCTGCCACCCTCACAGTAAAGAAGTTCCTCCTCACGTTTAGGTGGAACTTCTTATGGTCCAGTTTGTGCCCATTTCCTCTTGTCCTGTCCCTGGGCACCACTGGAAAAAGCCTGGCCCCATCCTCCTGACACCCACCCTTTCAGTATTTATAGGTGTTGATCAGATCCCCCCTCAGTCTTCTCTTCTCCAGACTAAAAAGCCCCAAGTCCCTCAGCCTTTCCTCATCAGAGATATGCTCCAGGCCCCTCATCATCTTTGTAGCCCTCTGCTGGCCCCTCTCCAGCAGTTCCCTGTCCTTCTGGAACTGGGGAGCCCAGAACTGGTCCCAGTGCTCCAGCTGGGGCCTCCCCAGGGCAGAGCAGAGGGGCAGGATGACCTCCCTCCACCTGCTGCTCACACTCTTCCTGATGCCCCCCAGGATGCCCTTGGCCTTCTTGGCCACCAGGGCCCATTGCTGGCTCCTGGGCATCCTGTTGTCCACCAGGACTCCCAGGTCTTTCTCCTCAGAGCTGCTCTCCAGCAGGTCACCCCAACCTGTCCTGGTGGGGAGGGTTATTCCTCCCCAGGAGCAGCAGTCTACACTCACCCTTGTTGAATTCCATCACGTCCTCCCCACGGGGGTTGGAGAGGCTCTGGGTGGGACCTCTGTGACCCCCGGTTGGAGCCAGCTTTGGGGACTGTTGGCTTGGGGACACCCTGCTGCTGGCGGCACAGTTCAGGCTAGCAGCTTCCAGGTAGGATTTGCCCACCAGGGCTGGCAGGACCTGGGCGATGGCCATGGGCTGGCGGTAGTCATGGCTGTAGACCACGGAGAAAGCCTGGGCGCAATCCCACTCCCGAGGGGCGTAAAACTTTTCCGTGGAGCCCAGCACCTACGGAAGAAGGTGGGAAGAAGGTGGGAAGTGGGATGAGCAGCCCCCAGGAGCGGAACCTGGGTGGTGGTGGCCCTGCAGCACCCGCCGTACCTGCAGGGCCAGCCCCATGCTGTAGATGTTGCCTATCATGCCATCCTTATTCTCCTGCTCATCCAGGAAGCCGTTGGTCACCACCGACACCGCCTCCCAGAGCAGGTCCTGTAAAGCTCCGAGGTCCGTCTGGTGGTAGGTGCACGCCATGGCCAGTGCCGCCACGGCACGGGTGTCTGCAGGACCCTGGTGTCACCTCCAAGCCCCCCAGGAGTGGGGCTTTGCCAATGGAGGGGACACGGTTGGGGTTGGAGGGGTCCCTTACCCACGGAGAGCTGGCTCGTGGGGCTCAGTACTTGCTTGGCCAGGGCCATGGATGCCTCTTCGTACTGGCCTACCCGCCCCAGGCACAAGCCCAAGGTGTCCAGGCTCAAGCTGTACAGCGTGGTCTTGGGGACACCATCCACATCTACAAAGCAAAGTGTGGTGACCTGATGGTGGCCCGGGGTGCAGGGGAAGGGACGTTTTCACACACACCCCGGGTCCCTCCCTGCCATCCCACCATACCCATACTGGCCAACTCCTCCTGCGTTTTCTTCTGCAGGATGTGGAGAAGGTCGATGGTCTGCCCCAGGGCATGGACGTGCTGGGGGTTCTGGCAGGAGGAAAGGAGGGCCAGCACGGACAGAGCCACCTGGCCAGAGGTCATGTCTGTGGGGACAAAAGAGCAGCCAGGACGTGCTGGATGGGGACAGGACCTGGCACCCTTGAGAGCCAGCAGTGCCAGGACCTGCCATGGTTAGGTGGCCCCCCCTTGCCCCCCTTCTTACCCTTGTGGGCTTTCTTCACAGCCTCCTCCTTTATCTCCTGGAGCAGCCACTTGTGGGTGCCACCATCGGTGGCCCCGGCCAGGTTCATGGCCAGCAGGACACTGGGGTTGGGCGGCTCCTCCACGTTGACGGAGTCCTCCAGGCGTTGGAGCAGCTCGGAGACCAGTTGGTCCGGGCCAACTGGAAGGACACCCCCAGCTCACCGGGGTCCCCACGACCCTTCCACGCAGCACCTTGTGGGGCTCCCGGTCTCTCCGGTGCCTCCATGGTGGGGATGACACTCACCACATCTGTGGGTGGCCGTGCTACCCACCAGGGCCAGCAGGACCCCCATGGTGAAAGCCACGGAGAGCATCTTCTTGTCCTCAGGGGCGAGTAGATCCGTTCGTCTCTCTGGGCGTCCTCTCCACTGCTTTTAGCTGCTCCCGGTGTCCTTCTCCCGTCACCCGCCCGCCCGCAGCCGCGGTGGCACTGCCAGCCACCGGCTTATCTGTGTGCCCCAGGGTGGCAAACGGAGCCGGGGGGTGACGGCTGCGGGGTCAGTGACTTTCCATTCGGGGTCAGTGATCTCCATTGGAGGACAGTGCCTTCAACAAGGGCCAGTGCAGGGTGCTGCACCTGGGGAGGAATAACCCCCCCCAACCAGGACAGGTTGGGGGTGACCTGCTGGAGAGCAGCTCTGAGGAGAAAGACCTGGGAGTCCTGGTGGACAACAGGATGCCCAGGAGCCAGCAATGGGCCCTGGTGGCCAAGAAGGTCAATGGCATCCTGGGGGGCATCAAGAAGAGCATGGAGAACCTCAAGGGAGGTCATCCTGCCCCTCTGCTCTGCCCTGGGGAGGTCCCATCTGGAGCACTGGGACCAGTTCTGGGCTCCCCAGTTCCAGAAGGACAGGGAACTGCTGGAGAGGGGACAGCAAAGGACTACAAAGATGATGAGGGGCCTGGAGCATCTCTCTGACGAGGAGAGGCTGAGGGACTTGGGGCTTTTTAGTCTGGAGAAGAGAAGGCTGAGGGGGGATCTGATCAACGCCTATAAATACTGAAAGGGTGGGTGTCAGGAGGATGGGGCCAGGCTTTTTCAGTGGTGCCCAGGGACAGGACAAGAGGAAACGGGCACAAACTGGACCATAAGAAATTCCATCTCAACATGAGGAGGAACTTCTTGACTTTGAGGGTGGCAGAGCCCTGGCAGAGGCTGCCCAGAGAGGTGGTGGAGTCTCCTTCTCTGGAGACATTCAAACCCCACCTGGCCACGTTCCTGTGGGACCTGCTCTGGGTGGCCCTGCTGTGGCGGGGGGTTGGAGGAGATGATCTCCAGAGGTCCCTTCCAACCCCATAGTATTCTATGATTCTGTGACCTTACGCAGGGACCAGTTGAACGCCCCTGGGTTCACAGGGACGGGTGGGATGCATTCCAGGGCAGGGAAGGAGCTGGTGGGTGTCACAGCAGGACCCCCACCCCAGGGCACCTGAGGAGGTCCCCCGCTGGCTGGAAGCTCCCCAGAAGTCTCCAAACTTCTGGGAAGGGCTTGTACTTCCCAAGAAACCCCATTAGTTTAACCTCAGTGCCAGGAAAAATAAACGATGGAGAAGGTTATCCCGGGTGCTATCAACAAGGATTGGAAAGACAATGCCACCACCAGGCACGGCCAGCACGGGGACGATGAAGGGAAAGTCCCCTGTCTGACCACGACAAGGTCACCCGCCTCGTGGGTGCCAGGAAGGAGGTGGATGTGGTTTCCCTGGATTTTCGGGAAGGTTTTTTGGGGGATCCTGGCCCTCCTGGCATCCACACAAGGTGTCTGGTGCTGGGTGAAGAACTGGCTGGATGGAGGAGCTCAGAGGGGTGCAGGGACTGGGGGTACAGCTGGGGACCAGTCTCTACAGCGAAATGCCACCCCTCCCAGTTCTTACTGGTGATAGACTGGGAGATGCTGGTGACTTTCACGAGGGATGAGAGCCCCGTGGAAGGATGTGGCTGGATGGGACCTTTGGGGAATCACCAGCTGCAGGGAATTTAACAAGAACAAATGGTTATTTCTGCACCGGGGAGGGGGGAGTGTACTGGTGGGGACCTTCCTTACTGGTGTGGGTGACCACTGGGGCAGCCATGGGGCGAGCAGGATGTGGGGGCTCAAGGGCAGGTCTGGGTCCACCAGCTGGGTCATCTTCTGCCCCAGGCTGCTCACCATGGGGTGCTGGGGGAGAGGGTCCGACCAGCGCCTGTCTTGGTGTCCCCAAGGTGTCCCATGTCACCCCTTCCCCTGCCTGGTGGCACCAGGATGGGGGTCCCTGGGTGAGCCATGTGTCCCCTCATCCCTGGGGGGGTCAGGCTGGGGGTCCCAGGTGAGAAATGTGTCCCCTCATCCCTGGGGAGGGCAGGATGGGGGTCCATGGGCGAGAAATGTGTCCCCTTGTCCCAGCACATCCCAAGGGACAGGGGTCCGTTCCCCTCCGTGCCTCAGTTTCCCCAGAGGCTCTGCAGTGGGGGGGGTGCCCCGAGGACATTCTTGTCACTCTTGTTTGGGGACCAGCCTGCTTTTGGGGCAATGTGGGGGCAGCACGTGGCCAGAGGTGGACCCCCATCTTCTCCATCACCCCCCAGGAAGGGACCAGGGGAAGGAGCAGGGACAGGGACTGGGGTCTTGGGTTTGGGCCCCCCCTCCCAGGAGGAGGAGGAGGAGGAGGAGGAGGAGATGATCATCTCTGTGGAGATGGGTCCCAGGTGGGTGCGAGGGGCTGGGTGTGGGGCTGGCAGGGACCACCCCACCTCCCATTGGGGGAGACCCTCAACCGCCCACCTCAGCCCAGGTGTAAAAGCCATCAGTGGGGGCTGTCCCTCCTCTTCCTCCTCCTCCTCCTCCATCATGATGAAGGTTCTTGGGAGAAGGTGGTTTCTGCTCCTTCTTGTGACCACAGCCTGGGCGCAGGATGCCCTGAGTAAGGGGGTATTTGGGGGGGCCCTGCTGGGGTCTGGCTGCCCTCTCTGGGGAGGGGGAGTGGGCAGTGCCCCCCTGGGTGGGCATGGGTGACACATGGCTGCCAGCGGAGGAGGACCATGGTGTCTTCTCCACCCCAGGAAGGGCAGGTCTGAGGGTCAGGCTGCCTTGAGCACCAGGTTTGGGGCTGAAAAGCCAAATCTGGGGGGGATTTGTTGGGGGGTGTGTCCTGCATCTGCTCCATCTCCCCATGGGGACCTTTCAGGAGCATCAGGACCATGAGGTGACATCAAAAAGTGGCTCAAAGTGCCCATGGCCGCCTCCTTCCTGGTAAATGCTAAAATTGGGGGGGGACTCAAGGGGACATCTGAGCCAGGGGGGCTCGCTCCCCTGGGAGCAGGCAAACTGGGGGTCCCTGGTGAGCTGGCTCAGCCCCCCTGCCCCATCTCCTCGCCCTGCCCCAGTCTTGGTGACATGTGGCCGTGGGTGGCTTTCGGTGGCGGTGCCGGCTGGCCTCCTGGGGAGCCGTGTGGCTGATGGGGAGCTGAGGCTGGGGTCCACCTGCGGGGTCACCAGCGCTGATGGGGACAGGTACCGGCTGGAGCACCCCCTCCTGAGCTGCGGGACCACCCTGGAGGTGAGGAGCTGGGGGTGACCACCTGATGGAGGTGCTGTGGCAACCTGGGTCCTCCTCGGGGCTGGTGGAGGGTGGGACGGGGCAAGGGGGGGACACCATGTCCCACAGGTGGAGGGTGGGATGGGGCAAGGTGGGGACACCATGTCCCACAGGGGAGGGACAGCATCAGGACATCCTCGGCCATGACTGTTGAAGGGTTGGGAAAGAAACCTCACGGGACAAGTGAAGTGGGTCCTCTCCACCACCACCCATCACCCCGAGGTGTCTCTGCCATCGTTGTCACCACACCCATGTGCTGGGTGAGCTCCAGAGCTGGACCCCCAGGTCTTGTGGGGGTCCCAGCAGCACCCACAGTGACACCCACCCTTTGTGTGAGGGTGGTAGAGCTGGTTAAGGCCAGCAGGGACGTTGTTGTTGACCTGAAACCTGGCTCTTGCTGTGGGACAGCAGAATCTTCTGCCTCCTGGGGGGTTGGGGACAGGGAGGGGACCCCTTCTCTGAGCCGGGTGACACCCCCAGCCCCATAACTGTTTGTTCCCCCAGTTTCTCCAGGACAGCATCCACTACAGCAACGTCCTCCACTACCACCCCTTGGCTGGGGGGGCTGTGGCTCGTGCCACCCCCTTCTCCATCCCTGTGGACTGTTATTACCCCAGGTAAGTGGGGACACCCCCCCTGAACCCCAGAGCCGGGTGAACCCCCTGTGTCCAGGACCACGATGGGACCCCTCAGCGCAGGAGGGATGCCCACCCATGGGGGGACACGGCAGGCGGGGGTCCCCCAGAGCTTGTCACCCCACTTGAGGACACTCCATGGTCTAGGACGGGCAGTGTTTCCTCAGGGGGGGCCATCCAGCCCACCTGGGTCCCCTTCAGCTCCACCTTCACCCACCGGAGACGCCTGCGCTTCACCCTGGATGCGTATGACAGTGAGTTGGGGGCGTCCCCAGACCCCTTCAATCCCCCGTGTGATGGGGGCCATGACCCCGGGGTGACACTGGGGACAACCACCCCCCGTGTCCCCTCCAGGTTCCTGGTCCTCCCGCCTGCCCCAGCCCACTTATTCCCTGGGGGAGCTCATCAACCTCCAGGCGTCGGTGGATGCGGACCCCCACCTGCCCCTCAGGGTCTTCGTGGACCGGTGCGTGGCCAGTCCCAGCGTGGTGGCCCCATGGAGGCTGAGATATGAGGCCATCGTTGATGATGGGTGAGTGGCCAGGGCTGGGGAGCAGCAGGGTGGTGGTCTCTGTCCCCAAATAGCCACTCTCCCCCCTTGCTGGGACCATGAGGAGGGTGACAATGACCTTCTCACCCCCATCCCACCCCCCTAGGTGCCTGCTGGATGGGCAGCTTGCTCGGTCCCACTTCCTCCCCCAACGTGGAGATGGTTCCTTTCGCTTCCAACTGGACACCATCCTCTTCCCAAACACCTCCAGCAGCCAGGTCGGTGCCAGTGGGGCCTTGGGGGGGTTGCAGGGTGACCCCCAGCCACCTACCAATGTGGGGATGGAGTGGCTGGGGGTGGTGTGTGTGTGATTGGGGGGGTTTCTCAGGTGGGGTGGCAGGAGGATGGATGCTTGTCCCCCCCAGATCTACCTCCGCTGTCACCTGAAGGCTGTGGTGGAGGGGGCTGCTGGTGCCCCCGGCAAAGCCTGTTCCTACAACGGTGTGGCAGCCACCTGGCTCTCCTGGGATGGGGACAACTGCTCCTGCTGTGGCTCCCTGGCCGGCTGTGGTGGCCGGCGGTGGCGGCGGCGCTGGTGGGCTGGCACCAGAGGTAAGAGGACCCCTTTGGTGGCATCCACGAGCCTTATGGGGTGGGGGGACAACACCTACACCCAGCAGTGCTTGATGAGCTTCTCCTTGCAGGGCTCCTGGGTGAAGCCAGTGTCCTCTTTGGTCCTCTGGAGCTGGTATCATCTGTCCCCACGTTGTCCTCGGACCCCACGGGGCTCCCCACGTTGTCCTCGGGCCCCACGGAGCTCCCCATGGCACCAGAACCCACCACAGCATCCCCTTACCACCCCTCCATCCCCATGGTGCTTGGGGAGAAGAGGGATTCAGGTGAGTTCCAGCCCCCCCCACGGTGCTGGGGGTGGTTGGGGGTGACTCCACTGTCCCCCCCC